TCCTTTGCTGTCGCTGCGTCCGTGTTCAACATGACGCTGCGCTGACGCAACATTTCTCGATTGATGCGGTCAGAAATGGCAAGTCCGGGAACAATTGGAGTGGATTGCACGCTTGTAAATTCATCGCCCACACGATGAGCGGCAATAAGCGTCGTTGGCTTGACAATAGGTGTGAACTGTTGAATGGTACTGACTGGAGTCAGATGAATTGCCCCATCGACAATAAACCCGACAGCATAATCACATCGGGGCTGAAAGGGGTGAGACTGCAGCGCGTAGTGATACGAGTTTCTCCGCTGCTGCTCACCCCTACAGAACCTATCCTCTGTCTGCTGCATCGGCAACTGCCGTTGCTGCTGGTGTGATGGCTCCACGAAGGAACTGGAGCCAAACGTGTCAAGGCGGCAGTGCATCGTCAGCCTGGACGATGGAGACAAAATGGACGCCGATGACGCGGATGGCGGTGTTGCCTCCTTGCCCACATGGGTCACCCCTTCCGTCACAAAGAGTCGCACTTCGTCGGTTTCATAGGGCTGCGTCTTGCGCCTCAGTGGAAACTGGAAGATGTGCAATTGCTGCTGCAGCGGCGATGCGTAGACGTTGTACGTGGCAATCACCTCGTCGTCGTCGTCTGCATCCCGCCGGTCTCTCACACCAAACTTCATTTCAGTGAATTGCGGGGAGATAAACTTCCGTCTCGCGATGTCTGTTTTGTGTGTGTTTTAAAGCCCATACCAAAAAAAAAGGAAAGATGCTCACACACACACACAGAGAAAGAAAGAAAGAAAGTACAGGAGAAAAAAAAAGAGCGGAAAACAAATACACTACCAAAATAATTGACACGTGGTGGCAAAAATAAACGTAAAGGAATTAATAATAATAGTAATAATAAACAGCAGCAACAAGAACAACAAAAGTCCTTTCAGTTCCTTCCCCCCTCCTCCGTTTCATCGTTGCACTCGCAGCGGCTCCTTCCCCCCCCCCCGCCAACTCACACATCCCGATGCCAGGCCACTCCCTCTCTCCTTCTCTCCTTCTCTCTCTCTTCTGCATTCACACGGAGACGCAAAAACCAACCTTTTTTTTCTTCCCTCATTTTTAGTCAGACTTCACAAACGTGTAGATTTTTTTAACAAACAACGAGGCAGTGAGAAACGCAATGGAGCCACCGATTAGCCCAACAGCAACGGACAGTGTTGCGGAGTAAACAAAGTAAAATACAAGTGGAAAAAGCCCACTCATAGTGGTACGGTAGATGTAAAAGTAAATGGAATAGAGGTATACGTAAATTCCACTAGATGCACCAAATCCAAATGAAATCCATGGCCAACGATGATTCTCAATATTAAGCAGCACATACGTGGCGGTAACAGATATACAAGAGGTGACTGTCACAAATACCAAAAATGTCAGCAGTAGAAACGTATAAAAAAAGTAAAGTTTGTTCAACCACAACGAGCTTAACATAAGGGAAAGTTCAAATGCAATTGAACCAAACGGCATGGAGCCACAAAGAAAAATAAACAACTTCGTCGAGAGTAGAAAATTGGGTGGTAGGGGAATAAGTCGGGGAATTTGGTTCACATGCGGCAAATTACGATGGCCACGTGGCAACAATATACGCCGTCGGTACCCATACCGCCCCACGAGGGTCCCTACCACCACAGACGGACAATACCCGATAACAAGCAATGCCAAAAAAAATGTGACACCTCCAATATGCACCGCCCGTGCAGACTCGTGGAGATGCGCCACAATGTTTGTAATACTCCCGCATGACACGAGAAATATTGGGAACACAAACATTGTAAATTCCATGCACCGCATCCACTTCTTGGAAAGAACCGGAATTAACGTCGCGTACCACAAGAACTGCACCGATGACACACATCCTGCCACTACACCGGTGAAAGCATACAAGAGAGCCACAACGGTAACGACATCCTGCGAGGAGTTCCTCCGCAAACTAAAGTAAGCTGCTGACGCGGTCCCAAGCACAAACACCACTGCAAGCTGCACTCCAGTGCCTATTAAAGCGCACAGAAACGATGGATACGCAGGCACGCGATGAACGTCTGCGTAGAGCTGTTTCCATCCCGTGCTGTCGACAAGTTCTTCATTTCCCTCCTCTCGCAACCGAAGTTCATTCTCAATACGTTGGTAGTCCGTGCGAAGCATACGAAAAAGAATAACCGCAACGACTATGACAAGAAAGACGGCCAACAGTAAAGAGTTGCCAATGGCAAACCATCGAATACGAGGCTCAACCAATTCCTCCCTCATGTACTTTCCAAAGCGATTCTCAAACGTGACCGCCGATTGAAAAAAATGCGTGGAATACGTAAAGACATACGTCTTGCCCGCAAGAAGTTCTTCGGCTGCCGTCGTTAATACTCTGACATCAACAATCCGTGGCCCATTTATGCCGAGACGAAAGTCACGATGCAAGTAAATCATGGGTACTGCATTGATCACTTTTCCAAATGGCGCCCAAATTGGCAAGTCGTCAACAAGGAGCTGGTATGTGTAGTCCGCAACAATCATCTCACGCCAACGAGCCACTTCCTCCTTGGTGGGTGTGAAGCTACAAATGACTTCTTTCTCAACATCCAAGCCATATTTTACCGAAACGTTTAACTCATAGAGCTCGTCGCCCACAAGCGCCTGCCCTAACGTTGGCGTCCGCTGTTTCCAACTGGCCGGTGGGCAGCCGGGAACCCGAAATAAATCATGCGTTTCAAATGCATTGTTCAGTGGGCCGATCTTGTTGCCATACACCCGCACCGTCTCGCCATCGCCGTACATGTGCGTGTCCTCCCCGGCTATAACGACACCCGCCACCAGCGATACCCCCGCCGCGAGTAACAGAAGGACAGGCAAATGAAGCGCGCCCATTAAAAACAAGTACAAATATGCAAAAAAAAAAGAAAAAAAAACTTCCTTTTTTTTTATTTTTAATTTTCCGCTATGTTACTTGCTGTCCTTTTCTTTCCTTTTTTCCCCTTCCTTTATGCGTTCCTCTCTCTATATTTATATTTACATTACACCAATGCAAGAAATGGAGAAAATCATTCAGACCATAATAAACGTGTGCGTATATATATACAGAAGGAACAGAACAGAAAAATCAAGCACACACGCAACAATAACTACGACGTAAAGACCTCCTGCCACGCCGCTGCGCAAAACCGCACCAATTTTTTTTTTTTTTTTTTTTTCATTATCGTAACAACATATCCGACGAAAGCATGTAGGGGAAGAGAAACTGCATACATGCAGCGTTGCCAGATTGAGTGGTTAAATCAAACCAACTTCGGATGGCGGTGATCCACTGCTCAATCAATTGTACCTGTCGCATTTCGCCCACGGCCTCCCGCATGCCAAGCACTCCTCTTACCGCAACAAGAAGAGAGGCGCTGGCTATTTGGATACTACTTTCCTTTGAACCGTAAATGATGACAGTCGGTGTGAGCAGCAGGCGCACAATTTCTCTACAAAATCCCAGCGTCCCCGTACCACAAACGATGCGTGTTGGGGCGGCTAAGATAATCTGCAGTAAGTGTACGAGTCCACATATGATAAAATACAACACACACCCAAAGCTGGCTGCGTCAAAGACGTTTCTTCGATTATGGGTAGAGGGTGGGAGCGGCACCAGATCTTCCAAAAGTGGTTGATTAAGAATAGATGACCATGCACGCGTGTGCCGGATCGAAGAGATGTGTGGTGGATCGGGAAGTTCCGTCACGCGCACCACCCGCTGCCCCGGTGAAGCGAGCAGTTCACTCTGTATCGCCATGAGGAACATGCTGATGGCGTGCCACTCCGCGTCAGGGGTAAATATGTCGGAGTGCGGAGACGCCAAAAGCGCCGCTGCCCTTGACAAGAGCATGGGCGCAAAAATCAACATAACAGGTGCCCTCGTTTTACCAAACACCTCCATGAATGGATCGGAGGGTATCAACTCACAGATAGCGTGCAAGAGCGCCTCCGTTTGACGGGCAAAGCCTTCTTTAGGGAGGCGCACCATGAAATCAACATATTTGTCCCCATTTATCACGCAAACCGTCTCGATTGCTTCATACAACGTGGAAGCACCCGCCAAAATATCCACCGGGTTTTGTGGAGCGGCGTCAGACATAAACCCTCAAAAGACGCCAATCAAAAGTAAAAATAAAATCAGAAAAGGGTCATAAAGGGAGAGAAAACAAATACATACATACACGAAAAAAGGGAAAAAAAAAAAAAAAGACATGAGGCACAATCAGGATAAAAGCCATAAAAGAAGGGTGGATACAAGCAACACCTCTCCACTCAGCCAGGAAAAGCGCAGCCACACGGTCCAAAAAAGATTAATAATAATAATAATAATAAGAGGAGTAATGATAGTAATATTAAATATCAAAGGCCATATTAAAAACCGTCACATAAAGCAAAAAACAAAAACAAAACAAAACAACAACAATAATAAATAAATGAGAAAAGGGTTCAGATAAATGACGCTTAATTCCCTCTTCCCAATCGCCCATCACCACCACCAGTAGCACAAGAGATATCCGCAGTTACAGAAGGTATCAACCGCACAGTTTTATAGCCGTTGTAGAAATAATCTTCTGGCGGGGTACATCCCTGCACCTCCGACAAACTAAAGGTCTGAATGGTACTTTCAAAGAGACCAACAATAAAAAGCGCATGAAACATCGGAAAAGAAACTGCGCAGGAAATTCCTCCCGCATTCTCCTCCTCTATAATTGGTGATACGTGTGATGGAACCGCATACGAATTCACAGGGAGAACTCTGAGACATCGCTCGCAACGCATAAGCAGCTCCGGTTCATCGTACACATGCCATTCCTTTATCAAACCATCATCGTAACCAAAAGAAAGAAATATGTCCGGAGAACGGAGAAGACAAATGTGACGACTCAGTCCATGGTGTCCCTGGCTTTCGCTTGAAACAAGTCCTTTTATGTATACCTCCGCTGATGCATCCCACAACCACACCATCACTTTACCATCTGAACCTCCCGTTACAATACGTTTCCCGTGGAGTAAAACAAGAAGCGTAAAACACGTACTACCTGTCGTGGAAAGAACATGCAGCGCGGTGAACGCCGGCTCTACCGCAAAGAGAGGGAAATAAACTGTATTTTTAAGAGATGGAAATTGAAGAGACACATACGTCTTTTGAAGAATCGACAACATGGTAGACGATACATCGTCTCCCCGTGGCGAAGGCAATGCCACAAAGTTGCTCACGATGCCCACATCAAACCCGTTCGCAACATGCGTGCCGTACTTGGGTTTCCACTTGGATTTTTTTTCCATCATCTTGACATCAGCTCTGTTTCCATTTGTTCCATCCCCTTCCTTCTCCCCGCTGCACATGCTTTGTTGCAGGAGTGCAGTTCCTTTTACCCACATGCCCATGTTTACCAATCGCCTCGTCCTAAACTCAAGTGTCGACATCACAATGGAGTTCATTTGCCGTCGTTCAATGTCCCAGCACAAAATGTGGTCCTCTTCCCGCTGTTTCCATGGCAATTCTGCAAGCGACCAAACAACGATTCCACCTTCCACCCCACCCAAAAGTCTCCGATCATCGTCAATGGCGAGGCAATGAATTGTCTTCGACTGTTTCGTTGGGGCCCTCGCACGATCTCCA